ATCCTTCCCACAGAAATGAAATAAATTCAAATCAAACCACATTGTAATGCCCAGCATGACTGGCATGCTGCTAATCAGCATCCTTCCAGTTATAACATGAAGATTGTCAGGCTTACTTCTCTGATTTTAATGAGATAGTAAGTTTTGCTTCTTTCTTTTCTGAATTTCTTTGTCTTATTTTTAGCTTACTCTTTTCCTTTACATGAAGAAATGCTTTTAAGCAGTGAAGGAACTTGCTTTTCATGCTACTGTTTTGCCTTCTGAAACACACTTAAAGCTCAATTTTTGACCAGCAATGTTTTCTTTCTCCTAGCTATGACAGGAAAACATCACCATTCACAGTCTTTGATGCCTGCACTTCTTCTGTTCCATTTTATTTATTTTGCATTTAATTCATGTCCACAATAACTATGGACAGTTTTTCCTGTTGTTTTCCTGACTCCCCATTCCTTTGGGAATTTTACATGAGTCATTTAGCAATGTGTGCTAGTAGAACAGTATAGCTACACTGTATGAAATAATTTTCATCTTTGGAAGTAAAAAAGGATGCATGTATTGATTCAATTTCTTCCTTCAAATCAGCTGGCTGAAAACCCCACTGCTGCAGGATGGTACACTCTTCTGAATTTAGTAAATGACTCTGCTGGTTTAAAGGTAAACCAGCAGGGGAAATGAACTCAACTCAAAAGAGAGATTATAAATCAGAATAACAATTTAATAAAATAATAAAATAAGCACGATTATACAGACAAACAATTGGTATTAACCCACAAAACCCAAACGTATAACCCAGCACCCTGGGGCATGAACAGAGTGGTGTTCTTTGGGCCCCCTGAGTCCAAAGTAAAAGGAGAGGGGAAAACCTGTTGGTGAGAGTGCTGTTGCAGTCTGGTCAAGAGTGGTGATTGCAGTCCGGTCGAGAGTGATGGTTGCAGTCTGGTTGAAAAGTGGTGGTTCCAGTCCAGTCGAGAGTGGTGGTCTGCAGTCTGGTTGAGAGCAGTTTTCCTCAGGATCCCATGAGTGGTTAAAAAAATTCCAAGACTCCAAGATTATATATTCTCCAGTTCAGGCAGGAATGCCCAGCACTTCCCTCAGGGCGGGGAGCTCCACAAAAGGGTATGAGGACAAGAGCATCCTCCTGTCTCGCAGGCCTCTTAACACTTAGTTTATAGCCTGAGGAGTCAGGCTCTATGGGCAGACGGTGTAAATAGTTAATTGATAACAGTTTCTGGGAAATGGCATGGGAGGCTATAGAATACACAGTTTTGGGTTACACCCATACAATGATGAACTGGTCCCAGATGTTCTAACTAGGACAATGACATATGCCATTAGCATTCATCACATCTAAGGTATATTCCAATAAAACTCCCCTGCGCAATCTCTCCCACCTCTGCCTATGCTACCCCAAGAAATCAGATTCAGCACTGATAAAATCACAGAATCATTTATGTTGGAAAAGACCTTTAAGATCAAGTCCAGCTGTTAACCTAACAGTGTTCACCAACCTAGGTATCTTACTTTACAAATGGATTTGCCTTGACATCTTGTAAGAAACAGAATGAAATCTTCCTGCTTGAAATGTGCCAGTAAAGAAGACAAAAGAAGTTTGCCAGTTAAAGTGGAGGAGATCTTATACTCTAGCAACTCTGCTTTCTCCGTAGATCCTCTAATCCTCTCAGTTTCCATGCTTTAAAATTTCCTTTCTAAGATCAAGCTGAACTTTTTTTCATAGAGGAAGGGGAAGTTTCAGGGTAGGTCCTCTCCAGTGCTGCATGATCTTTACCACAGAAAGCTTACCCAGTCATAAGATGCAAAGGCTCAAATCATCCAACTTGTACTAGTACTGAACAAAAGACTTGCTCACTTTTTTATTGCATTCCCATAAGCAACCTACAGCAGAAATGCTCTAAAGGTCTCCTGACAGATGGAGACTACAGTTGCCTTAGCAAACACATGCGTATATGGTTTGTACATAGATAATCCTGCCCTCTACCCAGATTTTACTCTTCTGTCTTCTGCTTTCCACTGACTGCTGCCTTGAAAATCCTTCCTGTTTACATGCTACCTCAATAACTTAACCTTTCAACTGGTCAAGAATATCCATCTCAAAAACCCTAGATCTTTTCAAACATGTCTACCTGCATTAAAGCCCACTGTAAACTTCATATGCAAAAGCTTTATGGAGTCCTTAAGATCTCCTGAAAAGTAGCTGAGAGAAGAAGGAAAAGGTTTTTGAACTTGTGCATACTCCTTCTTGTCAAGCTTTACACTAGTGTACTGCTTTGCAACATTCCTAGAGCAAACATTATTGTATAACTTTCACCTATCAAGATTAGACATAGGAAGAAACATTCCTGGAGAAACTAGGATAATGCTGGGGTCAGTGGGGAAAGGGATGTGAGAGAGCTGGAGCAACCTTGAGACAGAAGTCAAAATAGGCGTGAAAGCAAATCCATCAAGGGGTGCAACAGTTACTTGCAGCTATTGCCTACTTTCACTCTTTTAGGTCCTTTTCTCTCCTTATTGAAAGACAAAGCAGCAGGTAAGGTGCTCAAGGTGAAATTAAAAGTCAAGTTCAGGGAAGAAAACTGGCAAAGAAAGCAGAGACCCAGATGCTCAGCTCCTACAGAGGGGAGGCAGGAAGGAGGTCCTGTAACCTGCCCTGGAGACTTTTCCTTCCAGTGAGGGATATAGTGCCAGCAGAGAGGGAGCACAGCCATGGACTCTAGACATTGCATCTGTGGGACAAGTCTAGTCTCACCAGTTGGGAAACATTACTCGAGAGGTTTTTAGTTCCCTTAAATACCCAATGCCCAGGACTGGCATTCCAACCAGCCAGTCTGTCTAATCCCCTTCAAAATCCATGCTGTTTTTGCCTTCAGCAATACCAGATGCCAGAGACAGCAGTCTGGACAGAAGAAATGAAACAGTCTTTCTTAATGCTGCTTCCACCTGCATTTTCAATTCCACACAAAAAATATAAAATATATGAGACAAGGGCTGCCATTTCCCTCAAAAAGATTTACTAATTAGTATTTAAATTATAGCAATGCTTTTGCTTGTATACAAAGAGTAGTCTCTATTCCAAATGAAGTGTTTAGTTTAAAAGTAATTCTGTGTCTTTAGATTGCCAGATAGATTAATGAAGGCATTTTTACCATTTTCCAAGGACTGGATCCTGCAACTCCAAAGCTACAGCCTTGCAGTGCTCTGTTACACCCCTGCGGGGTCACATCCATGCTGTCACCTCCTAGGCCTTAGGAGTTGCTATCTTCTCTCATCTGCAGTCCTGAAGCAAACTGAATCTTAATGAGTCAATGCAGAAATGATTAATGGATCTCAGAAAACATCCTTCTAGTGACTCTTGGAAGCTTGCAAAGTTAGGAACACAATGGAGCAACAAAATCCTCTGCAAAGCATAACAGGCCAGTGAAAAGCATCTTTTAAAGGCATTATGACTAATAAGAGATTCCCACTTTTCCCCTATACTTGGTACGATCAAAATTCTTGTTTTAGAACATTTTTCCAGAGAAATATCTCCAAAAGTCTAAGGATTTGAAAACCATGCCTACTGATCTATTGCACTTGGCAAAAACTAATTACACTCTGTTGTAGTAAAATTGGTCCACTTTTTCTCTCTGTTGTTCATGATCAGATCATAAGCTAATTCAAAGTTTCAGAATGTCCAAATGCCAAATTAAAACAAGTTGGACTCTTCCCTCCTGCCCAGCCAATGCATACTCTTCTTTTGACCATAAGAGTTCAGACTTACTTCACCAGTCCTACAGTTTCTCACAAGGTATTTCAAGGCCCGATCCTTACAGTCTGCAACAAGCCCTTTTGATGTTCTAAGTTATCTCTCATTTGGCTGCTTTTAAGTAGGTCAATCCCTGGCACTTGTATTTACAGCACAGGTCTCAGTGAACCTATACCTTTCTTCTTGCACAGCTGACTTTGCACTCATTCCCTGCGAGCTTGGATGTGTCGTACCTTTGCTTAGACTGCTTCCTCCTCTTTCACAGCAATACCTACGACTGAGTCATAGTAACACATGTTCTCATATTTACTATATAAACAGGGACCTGTCCAAACGCAGTTGATACCTCTGCAGCACGACGGTCTTATTGCAACCTTGTGGTGCTGTGCCACACCCTCGTGTTGTTAGATCCACTGGAGGTGGTGTGCTCCTTGGGGCAGGTAATATGCAATTTCATTCCACGCTGCACGGAGCCTTGCAAACTTGGGCACTAGTAATCAATAGTATCAACTGGTGGCCTGTGCTGCTGCAGACAGCTGTCACCTACACCCAGGCTGGGCTTGAGAGGCCCGGGGCTCCCGATGGATGGTGCTGGCTGCCGGGCGGCCCTGGGCGGGCAGTCCCAAGGCGGCAGTCCCAAGGCGGGAGCCCCAGGCAGCCCGCCGAGGCTGCCCTCGCTCCGCGGCGCTGCACAGCCCTGCTCTGCGCACTGCCGGGCAGCCACGGCCGCTGTTGCGTTCTGAGCACGCTCCACCAACGTGATACGTTACATCAAGATGGAGGGTAGGGAAGGAAAAAAGAGGAGAAAAATCCCCAACGAGGAACTAGTCAGAAGCACATGTTCCTCTCGCTACCACTTCCCGGCCAAGACCGGCCTTACGGGGTCGAGGCGGCGCCCGAGCCTTGCCAGTAGCACTGGGCGTCGCGCCCGGGGGCGGAGACCCCGGAGCCCCCTCGCCCCAGGCGAGAGCTGAGGGGAACCCGAGGGAGCCGCACTGCGCCTCGGGTTCCCCGCGGGTCGGGCTGTGCCAAGCAAGCCCCGGTGAGCCGAGGCCGGGCTTGCCTGAGCCGAGCGGAGCCGAGCAAAGCCCACGGCCGCCGTCAGTCAGCGGGCGGGGCGGGGCGCTGCGGCGGCGCGGGTTGGCGGAGGCGCCGGGGGCGGGGCGGGGGCAGAGCCGGCGGCGGGTTAGGCGCCGCCGAGGCACTGTGGTGCCGAGCGCGGCCGGGGCAGAGGGTCCGGGACCGCGGCGGGACGGGCGCACGGCGGAGAGCGGCGCGGCGGGGTGCCTGCTGCTGCCCAGCGAGGGCACGGAGTAGGTGACGCCGCCGTAGACGCCGCTGAGGTAAAGCGAGCCCTGCCGCATCCGCCTCAGAGAGCGCTGCCCCGCAGGCGGCTGCCGGGGCAGGGGAGCGGGGCGGGGTGGGGTGGGGGCTGTGCGGGACCACCCGGCTGCGGACCCGGGCTCCGGCCGGTGACAGCCCGAGCGGCAGCGCCGCCGCCGCCCCGTGCAACTTTTTCTTCCGTGCACGGCGGGCTGTGGCGCCGCCGAGCCCTCTGGCGCGGCTGATTCGGGCAGGCCGCCCGCTGCGGCCGAGCCCGAGCCCCAGGGATAGTGCAGCCTCTCCCCCCGCGGCTGGGGGCGCCCCAGCCCCGCTCTTCCTGGGCGGGCAGGGCGGGCGACGTGCTGTGCCGGGCTGTTCCGTGCTGTGCCGGGCTGTTCCGTGCTATTCCGTGCCGTGCCGTGCTGTGCCGGGCTGTTCCCTGCTGTGCCGGGCTGTTCCCTGCTGTGCCGGGCTGTTCCGTGCCGTTCCGTGCCGTTCCGTGCCGTGCCGTGCTGTGCCGGGCTGTTCCGTGCCGTGCTGTGCCGTGGGCGCGGCGCGGCCACTGCGGGGCTGCCCGGGACCTCCGGCCCCGCGGTCGGCGTGGAGAGCCGGGTGGGTGTCCCGGCCGAGCTGTGTCCCGGGGCGGTGGGAGGGGTGTCCGCGCAGATCGCTGGGCCGGGAGCGGCGTCCTGCTCGCCCGTGCTCCGATCTCCGCCGAGGGCCCCGCCACCGTCCCCGCGCCGCCGGGGAGCGCCGCTCGGCGCGGCCCTGTCCTGCCTTTGGAGGGGCTGCGCCCCCCGAGCTCCGGCCCCGGGAGAGCGGCTGCTCTGCGGCGGGAGCTGCGTGTCAGTGCAGGTCTCCGGAGTGATTAACCTGCCGGCCTCTTAAACGGGGTGGAAGCTCAAATTCTGATGTTTTCCTAGTTTTTTAAATTATCATTATTATTTTATTGATTCTGCTGGAGTAGTCCTGATGCTCACCTGCCGTCTTTCATAGTTTTGCAGCCCTTAGAAAGTCTGAGATATTTCAGAATGGGGATGTGTTTTACAGTGTCTACAGTACTTATTCCGTGTGTACATTTTTGAGCTTCTGCAGTGGTAGAATCTCCACAGACTCAAAATAATTATTTCAAAGACTGTAAGTGGTATAAAGGTATTACTTCATGATACATCACGGACCTCACTTTCTTGCAGAAAATAGTGTTCCGATGTGGTACTTAACTTGGTTATCTCCATTTGGAGAGCGGCAGCATCCTACTTCAGAGATAACTGCAGTGTGAGTCACAGGTGTGTAGACACCTAGTGGGCGGAAGAGTCAGTCTCCAAGCAAAGTTCCCCGCTTACCTTTCAATTCTCACTATTTCATGTCTCCTTAAGTAGGTTGGTCTGCTCTTCTGTCTACGAAGCTCATACTGCAGTGGAAGGGAAGTTTTTGTTAGGCACTATTTCCCTCGGGATTTTTGGAAAAAGGGAGATGGCAGTACAAGGAGATATGGTTATTAAGTATGTTAATATAAAGATGAAGAACATTTTTGTGTCTTGTATTGTAGGGGTGCCATATCAGTACCACACGCACACCCCTCTGATTGACCTGGTATTTACAGCGATATGCAGAATAGAAGTTCTTGGGGCAGGTAATATGCAATTTTATTTCACGCTGCACGGAGCTTGCAAACTTGGGCACTAGTAATCAATAGTATCAACTGGTGGTCTGTGCTGTGTGTGCCTGCACGTGTGTGCAGGCTTTTTGAAAAGGGAAGTCTAATTCAGGCTCAGATAATTTTGAGTACACAAGTACCCAGTCACCAAAAGAATGCTCCCTTGCGTGGGAGGAAGTGCTTGGGTACCAGTGGAGTGGAAGCCAGACAATATTTTTAACAGGGGATGCATGGGAGAGTGGACAGGAAGTTTTCATGTCCCCTTTCTTTTCCACTTAAATTTGCAGGACTGTCTTGCATGTTTCTGTTGAATTTTAAATTTTATAACTATTAAAATGCTCTCTGCTGAGAGACCAGAATTCTGTCTGAACTCAGGAATCTTTCAGCGGGAACAAGCTCTTAGTAAATAAAAACCAAATGAACATTTGATTCTCTTACAATACTTCTTCCCCCTTTTCCTTTCCCCCAGCCAAATGGAAATCCAGTAATATGTCATCTCAAATATAACAATGTTTCTTCCCTGAAGGGTTTGGTTTAGTTTTTTAATCTACTTAAGATGGTCTCCAAGCTATTTATTTTAGGACTTGTCACCTTAAGTCAGTTTGAGTTAAAATACCTGAGAGTAGAGGCCATGTAACTTGGAGTAAAGGGAATTTGTTTATACCAGATCTTAGCAGAGCTTTCTAAGAGGGCTCTTTGGATATGCTACAGTGTTACTGAGCTGCTATGGAAAACCGTTGTTTGTCCCTGTGCTAGGTCTGTCTGCAAGACTCTTGAAGTCTGAGTCTTAGTTTGTCCCTAAACCTAGTAATAATAGAAAAAGCGATAAACTCAAGAAATTCAGAATGGCTCAACCCTGGGAGTGTCTCCAGGTACATGAACCATAGATCAGTCAGGGGATCAGATGCTGGGGGCCCTGTACCAAGGGCAGTGCTGATGAGTGAGTATGAACAAGTACTGCAACTCTGAGCCCCAAGGAAACTGGATTTAGGGAAACTTTGCTACCATAATTGCATTGAGTTTTTCTAATCAGATGCATGTTTTGAGTTTTTGAAATATGCTTTGAAACTGTCATAAGCAGTTTTTATGTTAGTACAACATTTACAGTTCTGTATTTTCAGATGATGCATAGGAGACACAAGTACTCATTTTAAATATATGGCCATAAAGTTGCTATGATACTTTTGATAATAAAAGATCAGAGGAATAGGTCAAGTCAGTTCAATTATGCAGTGTTTAAAAGATTTCACTGACTGCCAAAATGCCCATAGGCAGAGTTAAATAAGTAGTTGTAGCAGAGCACTTGTTGAACCTTTCTTAAAAAGAAAATAAATATTTTAGAATAATTTAAGTAGTCAAAGTGGTAATTTTCTAGCAGGTTTTGCTATGTGCATGGTTGGTTTTGATTGGAAACATTTTTATTCGTTCCACCACTTAGATCTAAAGTGTGTAAGTGTATTTTTTTGCCTTGCTACATGAAATGGGAGAAACCCACGCTTTTGGAAAGGCTTATCTGCTATTTAATTGATACATTGACATTTGTGCTGTTTCCTCAGTTCTTGTCAGCAGGCTTTTCTCTGGTAGAAGAGGGAAACAAAATGTCAGTGAAACTCCATTCACGTTAATTGCAAAGTCTGTGGTGTTTGGTAGCATGAGCTAAGCAGCATAGTTTGGTTTTTCAGAAGTGGCTGCAGAAATTTCTAATTAGAATTTTGATGGGAGCTGGATGCCTAATGCACGTGGATAGATTTGCAAGTTATTAAAATAAATACGTGTGTGCAGGCTTTTTGAAAAGGGAAGTCCAATTCAGGCTCAGATAATTCTTTCCTACAGCAAAAACTGGTTGCAAGGGATGATAAGGAAGTTCTTCAAGAATTTAACAAGATTCTTTTTCTGTGTTCTGTTACAAGAGATGTTGAGCAACATGCAGCAGGGACCTGATGAACTGAAGAGGAGCCACATACAAATTAGGGATCAGGTTCATTCACTGGCAAAGGAAGCCCATATGCATTCTTATAAACACTTCTTAGCTTGTCAGCTAGTCATATCGCAAAGGACTTCATGACTGAGGCATTAGAAAAAATGGTGTGGAAAAGAGCTGTCAGATGTTCCCTGTTCCAGCCCTGTCTACTGGTGTCTCTTTACAAGGTAAAAGGGAGTGTTTCACCAAAAAAAAAATCAGCTTTCTGTGCACTCAGTACATAGTACAAAGTCAATATTTTACCTGCTGGTATTACACAGCTCCCTTGGGTATTTTATTCAGATGTAGTTTAGGAGTTTCCGTGCAGCTTTGAGGAGTTAACTCTTTCTGGTTTCCAGTATAGCATTTCAAAGTATGATTTGGCTTGTCTTTTTAAGTATATAAAAATGAGTAACAGTTGAAATAACATTTAGAAAGCTTTCACTGTTCTGTATGTTTTTAAGCAATTGTTTGCCAAATAGATTCACTTTTTAGTAATATTTTTTCTTTTTACTTTATGGTTGGGCAACCTTGAGCCAAATGTTCAGGCCTGTGTTCTCTTGCCTTTAGTGTAATTTAAGCATACACTCTGATACTCTACTCCTGATAGGGCTGCTTAGGTGGTCTGGGTGTGCCTGTTTCAGTTGCTGATTGTTTTTCTAGTATTATACCATAAACTCATTAAGAATCATCTGGAAGATGAAAGAGTGGGGAAGCCCCTCATTTGGGAAAAAAAAAAAGGAGATATAGTAGTCATCAAGTAAAAGCATTTTGGACTTTTTGGTTCTTTTACAGATTATGAAAAGACGCCTTCTTCCAAAGGATTTTGAAATATATACTTTGGGATGGGGATTGTTGCCTGTCCTTATCCTTGTCATAAACAGGAGGAGAATGAATACCCCAGTGGTCAATGCTAATTACCGTGAGCTCCCTCCCGTCCTGGCTGATCTTTTGTGGAAAAGGGCTGTGGTTGTCTGTCTTCAGGCAGATAATATGTAAAATCTTGCTGAGAGGTTAGATATTGCACTACAGGGACAGCTACAGGGCTTAGCCCTCTCATCCTGAGACTTCAGTAGCTGTAAGTGACAGAGAAGGAAGCATGCCTCAGACTGCAGGGGTGCAAATCTGATTCAAGTAATTTGATGTACATCCTTTACAAAAATGCAAACATTACCTGGAGATTTTTTTGTGAGGTCACTTTATTTTATTGTTGCATAGGACTCTTTTGTGGGACACAGTCTTTGCCAGGGTTGCAGTAAGCTTAAGTCATAAGTAGAATCCCACATTCACAGTCATCAAGAGAATCTGAAGTGGTTTCATCAGTTTTCTCTTCTCTTTCTAGGAAAAGCATGTGTGCTGAGTTTGGTGGCAGAATTTTTAAGGTACGTGGGCAGTCTGTGGCAAATACATCTGAAGAAGGTGTGACTGTCTACAAGAGTCGGCTGAACTTGTGCGTGGAGACACAGAAGTGCCAGCAAGCCCAGGAAAGGAACTAATTGGAAGAATATTACCACACATAGAAATAGTGGAGCACTTACTTCATCAACAGTCAGTGACTCAGAATAAATATATCAGTAAATACATCAGCAGTGAAATGATAAATCTTGATGCTTCTTGATTCTCTGGTGGATTTTGTTACTTAAGAGACATTTTCATTATCCCATTTAATAAGTCTTGAATTTCTCTGTACATTAAAATATAACTGGACAATCACATTTTGATACCTTTTAATAACACTTTTGAATGTTAAATCGTTTGCCAAGATGAGTGCTGAGGGATATCAATATAGAGCTTTATATGACTACAAAAAAGAGCGAGAAGAAGACATTGACTTGCACTTGGGAGATATATTAACTGTGAATAAAGGTACCTTACTAGCACTTGGATTTAGTGAAGGGGAAGAAGCAAAGCCTGAGGAAATTGGTTGGTTAAATGGCTTTAATGAAACCACAGGGGAGAGGGGAGATTTCCCAGGAACTTATGTAGAGTACATTGGAAGAAAAAAAATATCTCCCCCAACTCCAAAGCCTCGTCCTCCTCGGCCTCTTCCAGTAGCACCAGGTCCTACAAAAGCTGAAGCAGAGAGTGAGCAACAAGGTTAGTACCATTCTGAGAAAATGTGTGTGTCCTCCATGATTTCATATATTTTTGTTTCATAGACTTGTCTGACTGTACATTGATGTGTATTAACACCTGCTGGTCAGCTTCTTTTAGTGCATGGCTCATTTCAGTCAATTAAGAATTGTTTCTACTTAGTAATATTTAGCTCACACTCTTTGTAGTTTCGTGTGCTTTGTCTCAGGCGCCACAGAAACCAATAACTTACTGTGAGGTACATCTCACAGGTCGAAAAGTATGCTTGTAATTCACCGCTGTAAAGATTTAAATGGAAAATGAACCGGTTAGCATTTATTTTAGGTTTATAAGAAACGGGTTGAAGTGTTTCCTTTTGTGGTTCATCAAACTCACTATTGAGAAAGTTCTCAGTGATTCCAACAGTATACGTTCTAAATAAACAGTACGTTCCTATCACGGATCTCTTGCTAACAGCAAAAAATGCATTCTTTACCTGTGGCATTGAAGGTAAGAACCCATATTTAAAATTTAACAATGAAATTATAATAAAGAGAAATTCAGATTTTACATTGTTTGGAGGAGTATGGCATGCAGTAGAAAAAATAACTCTTATATAAGAAAGGAAGATACTTCCTTTAATCTAAGTTCCTTTCTAACCTACATCTGCCAACAGTATGTTAGGCAGAACTCAGAATTTGATCAGAAATCTTCTGTTAGTAGAAGAAAGAAGTCTTCTCTTTTGTAACTGGCAAAACCGAAGGGTAAAAAACCAAACAAAACCAGCCTTCCTTCAGGTGATTTTGTCTCCTTTACCTGCTAACATTCAGATAGTTGGATTTTACATATCAATGAGTACCCCAAATCTATCTTAGGATAGACTTTGGTCTTTCACTTCTGAGAAGTCTAGAGTGGCTTATATTGCTTCAACTTCTAATATTTCTTAAATTCTCATTGTTTCTAGCTGTAGGAAATATGAGTTGTAGTATTTGATCCTGATTTTCACAGTGCCACCATAGTAATGACTAGTATCATCACCCCGTGCCTCCATAGAAATGTTTGCAGCATCAATTGCAAAGTGGTAGGATCAGTTTATCAACTTCCATCCCACTGTGCATACTCTAAGTTTATATTCAGCTATGCTGACAATCAGCACAGATAAGAACGGAAATATAGAAAATTGTATGTGGCGACGAAGTCAAAAGCTTGCAGAAGCATTTGTAGGTTGGTGGGGACTTAATAAAGAGTGAAGATGAACTGGTTTATATAGCAATATTCTTAAGTGCTAACACATTGCTTGCAAGTCTGCAGTGCTTATCAGTTAGGATGAAGGTGAGGGCAGATGAGGCTGTAGTGACATTTTAGATTATACTCTCCCTATGTCTTAAATCCTTGAACTCTCAACCTCTAGTTATTAGTTTCATGGTTTTTCTCTCCTTAGATTAGTTCTGAAGACGGGCTATTTGCTTTTGGAAGAAAAAAAATGTTATTTCTTTGATCATTCCTTGTATTGGACATTAATGTGTGCTGATCAGGTTAACATTGACTTTTCTTAAGCCACCTGTGGAGATAGCTGTTGCCATCGTATGTAACTGCAGAATAAACATGGCTCTTTGGATAGACACCACAATGCTGATAGATCATTTTGAGCAGTAGAGAATGGAAAGAAAGTCTCATTCTTTACACGTGCGTGCTGTGGTGAAGTAACCGGTATCCCAAGCTTTGATGGGTTTATTGCTTAAAAAGTGATACTTTGTAACTTCCTTGGTTTCTGTACTCATGTTTGCTTGGTGCTGCTGTGCTGGAAAGTCCTCTTGTTAATCTTGTCGTTTCCAAGCCTGCCCCATGACTGTGCTTGTAACAGACATTTATGGGAGTTTTGGCTGCTGGGAGTTACTTTGGGAAATTCTGCTGCAGATTTTAGGGGCTCTGCTTATATGTAGGCTCCTCTGTTTCCTCGGGATGAAGCAGTGCCCCAGCCTTAGTGACTAGAGCTCTCCTGTGTGAGGTTTATTGCCTTTAGACAGAGTAATATTTACATAGAATGTGTTTATTTTTAATACCATGGGACTGTGGGAATTGGAAACAAGAAAATGTTCTACTTTAACTGAGGATCTTCATCTCAAAGTCTGCACATATAATTCTACCATGCTCCAAAATGTTTAAGAATCAGCTTGCAATCCAACCTTGGTTTTTTTCTTATTGAAAAAAAAAAAAAAAAGAGTCAAAGTTCCCATAACTCCTTTTGAATTTAAGATTTTAAACTTCATGTAAGAGTCTAGGCACCTTCATAATCCCCTAAAATCAGGGATTAGACCCCCTGAACAGAATTAGGGTAAACACTGAAATTTGAACTCCAAGTAGTTCAAGAGCTATTTGGAGTTTAGGTTTAATCACTTTTAAAATAATGTATGTTTTCTTAAAAGAAATAAGGAAAAGTTATGATAAGCAGTCTCATTACAGATCTTTTTGCTGTAGAGAACTAAGGCAGAGACTGCTTTGAATCCTAGAAACAAATTTGGGAAAGAGTATTATAAAAAACAAAATGAAGATGACATTTTTAAGTTAGCAGAATGCCACAAAAATTATGGTGAAACCAGAGGTGCTGGCAGAAATACAGTTCAGATAAAGAATAATGTAGCAATGTATGTTTGGCTTCCAGGAGGCTTCACTACTTTTGTGTCTATGATTTGGGGCAGGGAATAGTACAATTAATATTGTCCAGCAGTTAATGTTATGGGCCAAATGTAATTGGCAGTGAGCCAAAAGATTTTTCCCAGGATGATAGCTCTCTCTACACCCTTATAGTGTATTTCAAATAAATTAATGTATAGTGTGAAGCTTGCTTGACCAAATGCACTCAAGTTTACATTTTCACTACTTGAATTGAAACTGCAGTGGATTAAAATGACAAGTTAATGATGAACTGGAAGGAGACTTCTTAAATGTACCTTATTATTTGTAATCCACATACTTCTTTAATTCTGTAAAGAGTCAGTTCTGTATGTACTCCTGTTGTGTATATGTTGAATGAGAGTATCAGAAACTTAACCTGTGATGTCAAAGAAAATATATGCACAATTATAGAAGTTCCTTCAATTTTTTGAAGAAAATACTTCTGTTTTCAATACTCTTCAATGTTTTTTTTCTCCATGCCTTTTTAAACTTGATCAATTGCTCATCAATGTCTGTTGTTTCGTATTAGATCTAATTTGCAATATTCAGGCACAATGATGCCAGTATTTACAGCTGTGGGGTACTCATACATAAATAATCATAGACATCTGAACACACTTTGCAGTCAATGAGGCTAGTAACATGGGCAGAGCTGCTCATCAGGCCTGTGTCTTATGCAATCAGTCTTACTTATAAACAGTAATATTTATATTAGAATATAATATTTCATAAATATTAAAAGCCAATCTGAAAACAAGAAAAACCTCTGCTGGTGGTCTCAAATTACATTAAAACACTTAAGTCAAATCTTCTACCATCATTTTATTTTATTCATGACCCATTTAAATTTCTAGAATCATTGGTTAAGACAATAATTGGCATTCCCTGACTGAAATTTTAGGACTGTTGCATTTTTTTAAATTGCATATGAAAATAAAGAAGGTACAAAAGTCCCAAGAAGTCTCTAGCACCTTTCAGTTTCAGGCCTGGTGCATGTCAGAGCTGTGGCAAGGCAGATTTAATTTCTCTTGCTGGTGTGAGGCTCTAACTGGCCCAACCTGCCTTCTCCCCAGATTTCCTTTCCCGCCAGGCAAAGGTGCCTGGTTGCTGCTGGAGGGATCAGGGCATTTGCAACAGTGGAGGCACAGCACAAGGTCATCTTTATTCCTTCCACAAGACATCTAAGTTTATGAAGTAAAGAAGTAGTAGTAGATGAAGCAGTAAAGATTTTACATTATTCCCCCCCCCCCAAAATGCCTTGTGTGTGTTTTTTTTTTGTTGTTTGTTTGTTTTCTTTTTGTTGTTTTGTTTTGTTTTTTTTTTATTTGAAGCTGTGTTAGTCTGGTTCCTCTCACTTAGCCTGGTTTTGCTCAGCTCTTTGCAAATGAAAAGGGCATAAGCTGTACAAAGTCCAGATATGTTTTGTGAACTTTGGTTCATCTCATCTGATACTGTTGCATACGTTTAGAATTGATTCGTACCGTGTCATTTCTCTACCTGGTTTGGGAAGGCTGATCTTAAGCAGACTTTGGAGCATGAAGCTTTGATTGATGAACAGAAACACTTTCAGATTTAACTTGGAGTGCTAAATTCTCGCTTTGAAATGAAGATCAGATTGCAAAAGGGCACACCAGGACTTTTTATGAATAATTTGTCAGTTTTGATGTTTTGGAGCTTCCTACAACTTCCTGTGTAACTTAAAAGGGTTGTTTATGTTGACAACCCTTTCAGCTGGTTTGGAGCCTAAAAATAATCTGAAGCCCTTCCTTCTTGTATAAATCTATAAAGTAGATTTATATTTTTTTTAATAGAAAATACCCAAACTTTCTTTCACTTTTCTCCTAGTACAGATACAGATCAGCAAATTAGACAAAGATAATGTACATAGAAAATTTGGAAACTCTTTCCTTTCAGCAACCAGGTTATGCAATGTCTGAAAAAGATCCAAACCAACGAAGAGCATAAAACCGTTTGTGCATGCTTTAACTGAATGTGTTGTAGGATTTGTTCCTTTAATTTTGCTATAAAGCCAGTGGAGCAATTACATTTGTGAAAATTATTTACATTTGTGTATTGGGGGACATAAGAGTGAGTGGAATGCAGCAAACCTGAAGCCTCTATTGGGAAGAAAACGGTCATCCTCTCTCCTGATTTAGGCAAATGGAAAAAGGAAATTATGGGGTGAAGTGATGAGTCACTGTCTTGTGGCAAATACAAATGGTAAATATGTATGCCATTTGAGCCAGAGTCCTTGAACTCATCCTTTTTTGAAATAGCTTGAACATAAGTCTTTGCCCTGCTGCAGTTGTCATAACTGCCTTTCAGTCATGAATTTTCACATTGGTTGA